TATAGGTGTTCCTGCATGTGGACCTGGGCCAGGAATGTGACCCCCCTTCTTTCACCGCCGGGCAACACAGGACCAGAATGCAGCAGGTTCTGCACCCTGTCTGTGATTGGCTGCTGCACATAATCATGTGACCAACGAGTAATGAGTGTTTTATTCTCCCTCAGCTGGAACAGGAACTGTCCAAGAAGCTGGACGAGGTCAAAGGTCAGTCCCTGAGACTGTACCATTTGTAGACCTGCTCCTCAGAGGAGGTGCTGTCAAAGACCTCCCTGGGTGTGACCTCCACCCAGTTTGTGTGCTGTGCAGATCTGAACCCTTGTTCTCCTTTCTCCTCCAGGAGAGATCTCCTCCTACAAAGACCAGATAGAGACGGAGCTGGAGAAAAGTCAACCCAAACTCAGAGGGATCTACGCCGCCTACGCCAAACAGGCCGGTGAGTGGAGTCACGTGACCCCACCTGAGTCACCTGAGCCCACCTCCCGTCCATCACATCCACCCGGTCGTTGTCGTTTTCAGACCCAGGTGACCCGGAGGTTCTACTGGCTTCTGAGTCTGAGGAGGCGGAGCTAGAGGCGGCGGCGCACCAGCTGACCCAGGACTTCCTGTGTCAGATGATGCAGGAGGACAAGGGCGGAGACAGAGGGTCTGAGGACGATCCACCAGGGGCGGGGCCAGAAGTAGAGGGGGAGGAGTCCGTTCACCAGATTGCTCCTCTTGATGCTGTCTTGGGGAAGTTAACAGGCCCCGTGACCTTTGACCTCCACCAGACCTTTGACACCTCTGAGGGTAAGAGCTGCTGCAGACAGACGCTTCTGGTTCTACTTCTGGTTCTGGTGTCAACACAGTGTTGGGTCTGGTTTCAGACGTGGGCTCAGACCCTGGAGAGCTGGACCTGAGTGGTATCGATGACCAGGAAATTGAGAAGGTCAGTTCACCTGATGATTGACGGTTGGGTGTCTGGGGGTGGGACTTCCTGTGGTGCTGAGGACTGACACCAGTTTGTGTGTCGCAGTACATCCTGAACGAGCACGAGGTCCAGGTGAAGACGGAGCTGTGGATGAAGCAGAACGCAGACTACCTTCAGGAGCAGAGAGGTGGGTCATCGTCTCCACCCAGATCTGATCCGATGTTCTCCAGGTCGCAGCTCTGACGTTCTCCTCTGTCTTTGGCAGAAAAAGAAGAGAAGATCAAGATTGAGAAGGAACAAGGAACATACAAGGAGAAGGTGGGTCTGCTCACCACCTGGAGGTGGGGCCACCTGCAGGTCAGGTGACCTACTGTACATGTGTCTTTCAGAAGAAGAAGAAGAAGAAGACGACGACCACCGTGGCCGGAGAGTCCACCACGGCGCTGACGGCGGGCGAGGCCATCGAGAAGATGTTGGTGAAAAAGAAGATTTCCAGTAAAATTAACTACGAAGTTCTTAGAGATCTCAATAGCAGGGGGGGGACCAGCGCCCCCTGTGGACAAGAGTCTGCCCACACCCACTCACATAAACCACTCCCGTCCCGCCGTCGACGTCAAAGACAGTCCAAGAACCCTGAGGACCAGGACCTGGACACCAACGCCAGTGTTATGGCTAAGAGGTAATCTAATCTAATCTGACCATTGATAATCTGATGGTTGATAATCTGATGGTTGATAATCTGACCGTTGATAATCTGATGGTTGATAATCCATCCATCCATCCATTTTCATCTGTTACCGGGTCACAGGAGCAGCGGTCTCTATGACCGCCACCCAAATCACACTGCACTGTAACAACCCCCCCTTGAACCTTCCTGTGGTGGTGAGTCCACTGGAAGGTACCAACCGCCCTAAGAGGGATTACACCTTGCCCAGGAGGTGAACCCTGGGGTTTCACACCAACGACAGAGACGTTGGCTCTGGGTCAAAGCGCCACTCATTGATAATCTGATGGTGGATAATCTGATGGTTGACAATCTGACCGTTGATAATCTGATGGTTGATAATCTGATGGTTGATAATCTGATGGTTGATAATCTTGAACTAATCTGAACTAGCCTGTTGAAGTTATTAGTGTAATCCAATAATCCATCAGATTATCCTTGTTCTCATTCACTGACTGGTTCACGGTTCTAGTGAGAGTTTAACATCCCATCATTTGGATCAGTCACAGATGAAGACACAGACAGAGTAACACTGACGCCTACCGGCCGTTGTCGGTACTATCTGTTCCATATTTAGCATGGATTAATCTCAACCAATCAGATGAATCCACAACTACCTACAGATCAATCAGATCAAAGGTGTGACTGAGCAGCTAAACCTTTGCTTTCAGGATTCGTCTTCTCATTTCAACGACGAAGAAGAAGAAGAGGAAAAAGGAGGCGGGGCCTCAGGTTGACAAGTCTGCTGACACAGACCAGGTAATGATGATGTAATAATGATGTCATCGATTACTGGTTCGTCAGTATGGATTATTGATGACTGCTGATTGATCGTCTGTCACTCATCACTTTGATGTTCCAGCCACAGCCTGTCTCTATGACAGCACAAGTCCAGGCCCCGCCCCCTGACCCTGAACCACAGCCCAGTCCCAGACTCACAGAGGCTCCGCCCACTGTAGAGGAGGAGGAGGAGGAGGAGGAGGAGTGTGTCAGTGCTCTGAAGATGGTTGAAGGTTAGACTGTCTGACTGACTGACTGACTGACTGACTGTCTGACTGACTGTCTGACTG